CTAAAATGATCATAAAATACAATGTAATATTTGTAACCTTGCAAAGATGGAATTGGGAAAGTACCTCATAAATCAAAACATACAATTTTCGACCGAGCTTATGCTCGAAAAGTTGAAATAGAAAATGGAAGTTTATGTGCTTTGTTAATACAACAAGCATGACATAAAGAGTTTATGTTTTTATTTGAAACAAAATTACTAAACTAACTCAAAACTTTTTCTATTATATGCATTGAAGCATGGCCTAAGCGAGCATGCCATATGGAGAAACTGTAAGAATTTGTTTGAGTAGAATGTAAGGATTAAGTTAGTTCAACAACATGGTATAAAAGCCATTGTCCAAAGGTTCTTATCGAAGGATTTTCCTCATACAAATATTCTTTATCAAGAAACAATGAGGACAAAAATCAAAAGAGACATGATTAGTTCTAATAAAGGCACATACGGATAATAAATTTTGACATGAATTAAAAATATGAAGAATGTGATGGTGATTATAAGATTTATTATGTAAAGATAGAAAAAAGAACCAACATGAGAAATTAGAAGGGTATTACATTACCGATTATAACTTTCTCGAACCCGAATATTTAGAATGAAGGGCTAAGTTATCAAGATCATTCGTGAGATGATGTGTTGCTTAACTATCAAAGACCCATTTAGAGTTGGTTTAGGTTGATGCTAGATGAGAGGTATGGGTAGGCAATAGAAGTGAACATATATTAGAGGTATATTTAGGAGAGGAACATGAGGAACTAAAATGGCTAACTCCATGACAATTATAACATATTAATGTCATACAAATAGGTAGAGAAGACGGTTGTTATGGCTAATAAGAGGAGCTACATGATGAGAAGTGGGTAGATGAGTAGTCACAACCCTTCCATCATCCGTTTCCATAGAGATTGAAATGTTGTCGTGGGTTATAGTGGGTGTTGAATAAAATGTCTATTGAAGGAGATCTATCTCTCTCTTTCTCTCTTTAATTGTATTTCCTCACTCAATAATAGACCAAAGAGTTCATCAAAAGTGACAGTTTTAAGCTTAGATTTAATATTATGAGTAAATGATCTATAGGTAGACCCAAGGCTATGTAAAATGGCATCAACATGAATATCCTCTATGATTGAATTTTGAAAGGCGAGCAAGTTGATCAAATATATACTTGGCACGATGCATATATGTGGTAATATCATCATTTTAGCATTCTAGCTAGTGGAGATGGCAAACATGAGCTCTTAAGCCAAATGCATAGGTGGTAGCCAAATTTTATCATGCTTCACGTGCATATGTTACACCAATAACTCCGTGATATAACTCCTTTAGACGGGGAGTTAATGATCCAACTTAATATTAGTTGATTTTTAACAAACCAATCTTGATTAGTTGGTTTAGGAGCACTATCAATTTAGGTAAGCGATGGGAATTCATAACCATAAACATGGTTCATGACTTGGTAGTCTTAAAGAATGAGCGTGATTTAGGTGAACCTAATAAGGTAATTTATGAAGTTTAGTTTAAGAGAGAATTGGTGTTGAACATATGGAAGGAAAGTAATTTACATGATGGGTTTTACGCATATTAAGACCTTTTACAATTTGATATTTTTTATTCGGACCCTAAATTTTTTCTATCCAATTTAAGAGTTCTACTTTCATAATGTTGTTGTTTCAAACCCTAGCCAATGATAGCTTGCCACGTGTGTGCTCTAGCCAATGACAACTTGCTAAGTCAATAATTCAATCACCTAATATGGGCCCACCATGACACATGACAAGCTGTCATTAGCTACGAGCTTTCTACGTATGCTTACGTGACATATTAGGATACGAAACAACAATAATATAAGAGTAGAACTCTTAAATTGGACAAACAAAAAACCAAGGCTCTCAATCATAAAAATTTAAATTGTATAAGGTCTTGATATATGTAAAATCTTTTAGATGATAGTGTGATTAGGTGTTTCTAGGGAAAGGTTGGTAGACTTGGAAGAAATAGAAGAAGTAATGATATTATCATGGGTTGTTAAACCTCTTAAAGCTACGATACCATGAAGAGACTAATAGTAAGTTAGCAAGGCTATCATAATAATTTTGTATTATAGGAAACTCTTTTAATAGAGTTACATAAAGTTACATAGATATAGTTTTAGTTACAAAGAGTTACGTAAACGAGTTCTAGTTAGAGAGAGTAATTGAGATATGTACGAGTAGCTAACTCTTATCTTGATATGTACAATAACTAACTCTTATTAGAGCTTACAAATGGAACTTATTTTAACCTCTAGCCCTTGATCCTAAAGAAATTGATAACACTCCAATAAAAGGTAATAATTAAGGCATCTCTTGTCACTAGAGTCCTAGATAGCATACTTAAAAAGAAATAATCAAACTTGCAAGCAATCATCATATCATCAAACAAGTCATGTTGAATGGATTAATTACACAATATGGGAAAATTGAAAATGCACTTAAGAAAACAAGTCGAGCTTAGTAGTAAACCATATTAAAACCATAGAGCGAGTTGTATTGCCATCATTAACGATATCAAATGACTTTTTTTTCAGCCAAGTACAATAACCTGGTCCAAGGACAACTCTGCTATAAGGTTGGGCTTTGGAGTTTTTTTAGAAAAAGAAACATAGAGAAGAGGAAAAGAGAGAGAGGGAATGACGTTTTCTAATTAGGTTGGAAATAATTAAAGGTGATTGAGGCATTGGTCTTTTCATCTATTATTTTTTTTTGAATTATTTTATTATTAAAATTTATTTTTAATCATTTTTTTTAATTTAGCCAAGGTTATTGTATTGTGAAACTCATAATGTTATATGTCAATCACTAATAGGTAGAGTCTAATGGTAACGTGCTCGTTGAATTAAAAATAAATAAAGTCATGATGAAAGATCTCAAGCAAAATAAATAAATAATTAAATAATTAAAACCTTAATCAATTAAAAAATGAATAAAGGGTACAATCAAAAAGATTCTTAGAATAAAAGAATAAAAGGCCATAATAAAAAAAATTCTAAGAGTAGATGAGGGGTGTGTGTGTATATGTACATATGTATGTATAGGTGCATATATATGTACGTGTACGTACATACATATGTATATGTACGTACATATGTATATGTACGTACATATGCATGTATATATATATATATATATATATATATATATATATATATATAGGAAAAACCCTATTTTATTGCCTAACTAGTTACTTAATATGGCTCCATTGCTACCATTCATGTAGAAGGGATAACTTAATCACCTAGTAGAGCTTGTTATGATGCATTAGTAGAAGAAAACAACAAAGTAAATCAAGGAGTAATGGCCAACATTGAGTTCAACTTGCAAAGCCAAATGCCGAGCTCATGTATTAAATGCCCTAGAGAATAACTTTAAATTACCTAGCTTATCAACAACAAATCTAATAACCGCCTATCCATTCACATGTATGGCAATTGTATTCCTCATTTATGGATCAACAAGATTAAACTTAGATTTACAGTTTTGGAATTGAAATTTTCAAATCCTTTAGCAATGATGCAGAAGTCATACCTATGAAGATGAATTAGGTGGTTTTTGGTGTGATATTAGCTTGTATCTTGTAACACAATCTACACTATTGACCCATAATTCAACGCTAATCTTGTTAGAACAAAGCTATTGGCACCTATAGTGGTAGCATTAAATAAATGCCGGGCTGTTATAACAAGGTTGTTGGCACCTATAGAGTACCTACTTTAAATTACTTGAATTTTCAGCAACAAATCCAATAACAATAACAATAAACAATAAACTTGTTGCAAAAAAATAGTATACATGGGTGCCATCTTTAACATTGGTATTAACTCTCGTGATGCAAAAGAGCTTTGCTGGTAGCATGGAAAAGTTTCATAGGAAGACGGAAAGGAAGAACAGGAAAGAGGGAAAAGTTTCACATGTTTGTGCTGTTTGGTGTGCTATTAAGGGGAATTTTAGGAGGGAAAGTGAGATAGGAATTGAGGGAACAAATTATTAGTCTTAGGTATTTAATTTGGGTTTAGTTTTAGTCATTTTACTTTCATGGACCTCTCATGTATAGTCAGAGAATAGATAACAAAAAAAAAATTTATTTTTGAAAAAAAAAAGAGGTTTAGGACGTAAATTAGAAAAATTAAGATTAGAAATATTTTTTTTTCATTTGATTAAAAATTCAGAATACTTCAAAACCAATTAACTTACTCTTTTTTTAATAAAAAAATAATTTGAATCAACATCTTTTTGATGTAAGTCAAAATTATGATCACGCAAATAGATGTGAGCAAACAATGTGTTGAAATATTTCGATTTGATTTTTCAATTTATTTCAAACAAAATTTTCTAATTTGAAGATTTTTATTTGGTTATTATTTAAATAATAATAATAATTGAAAGAAAAAAAAAAGAATTTGATTTTCAAATCGAATGTAATGGATTAGTTAAAATTTTCTATTCAAACCAAACAACACACAACTATGAAACCAACTGAAACAAAATCCATGAATTTCGCTAGTGGGGGTTAACAAGAAAAAAAATGTTTATATATATATATTATTTTTTATCTTTTGTAGTTATAAAAGAGGAAACTTGAATCTTCATTTAAATATTGAAATCCATTCATTTTTACCGCTACCACCACTTTTCAGATTAAACTTTTAAAATTGGTGTGATTATAATTTATTTTCAATCTAAATCTAGTTTATTACTTCCATGAAAAAAAAAAGCAAAACAAAAAAAATAGTTATAATAAATAGGCTACGAAAAAGTATCCAATAGAATAGACTATAGAGGGATTTAATGGGTCAAATTATTTGAAGAGGGGCGAATTTATTATTGGCCTTAGTAAATAGGGACCAAATTGTTCCTTAAACCTCGAACAGTGGCATTGTCTGATTGTTGTCTCTTTTTCAAGCCTTGGAGTATTGTAGGGTTTTTGCAAAGCACCAAACATTCTAGCAAGCACACAGAAAAACAATGAGTCTAATAGCAGGCTCCTATGAGAAATTCATCTGGGGTTTCAAACTCAAACCCTTAAAACACGAACCTTCTTCTCAAAACCTCACACTAACCCCACTCTTTTCCTACCCATCTCACCTCGCCCCCATCACTACCGCTGCCGCCGCCGGCCCCGCCGCTGCTTCTGGCTCCGGGGACGACACAATACAACTCTACGACCTCCCTTCTGCTGCCTCCCTAGGCTCTCTCCACCAACATACGTCCTCCGTTACCTCCCTCTCCTTCTTCACCCCTCCTTCTCTTTCTTTCCCTCGCAACCTTCTATCTGCCTCTGCTGATGGCTCTGTTTGCATTTTTGACGCTGACCCTTTTGTCCATTTGAAGACTGTGTCGGCCCACAAGAAGGGCGTCAACGATCTCTCAGTGCACCCGTCTGGGAAGTTGGCGCTTACTGTTGGGAGAGATGAGTGTTTGGCTATGTTGAATTTGGTTAGAGGGAGAAGGAGCTTTTATTGTAGATTGGGGAAGGAAGCGAGTTTGGTGAAATTTGATTTGGGTGGGGAGAGGTTTTTTATGGTTACTGAGGAGAAAGTTGGGGTTCATGAGGCTGAAGATGCTAAATTGGTGACTGAATTTGAATGTCGGAAACGGGTTCTTTCTGCTGCCCCTGGAGAGGTTAGTTTTTTTTTTTTTTTAATTATTTTAAATTACAGTTTTGGGGATTTTTTTTTTAGTTTCTTGTTAATCCATTTATGCTGATTGTTCTGGGAAATTTTATATGCTTGGAGGCAACAATTGGCTGGTCTGGTGGTTTAATTTTGTTTTGTTTTCTGATACAATCTTAAATAATCTAATTGATGTCTTAATTAAACTCTTTTCTTTAATTAATCTTCTTGCATTGTTATTTATCTTAGTTAAATGATCCTTCTTGCAAAGAGAATAATTAGTTAGTCCTCACTGTTAAGCTTGGTTTTGGAATGCCTGATTCTTGTTGAATTGAGAACTCGCTCTTAGAGAATAAACTATAACTATTAAGCTTCCTAAACTCTTACTAAGATCTTGCTAATGATTTTTGTTTGTATTTTGCACCCCCATGTGTTGAGTCATATTCCATTTGTTGTAAACTAGGATATAAATCAAGTTCTTACGTCTTCGTTTCTGAAAAGATCTTTATACAGGGTTTTGATGATTGCTGTGCAGATTAATTGTTTCAATGGGCTTGGTATCTTTAAGAAAGAGAATAAGTCTTTCAATACCTTGAGATTCTAACTCTTGGAATTTATTTTCCTATATATTAACTAGGGAGCTACACATATGATGGTCTGATTCTATCTCTGGATTATTCTTAAGTTATTCAAGTTGCTTATCATACCCATCCCAGGAACATCCCTCTACTTCTTTCCAAATGAAGTTCAAGATTGCCATAAGACTTGTTTCTGGACTTCCATCACACAAAACTCTATGTGTTTGGCATCTATGTTAAAGCAAACTATTAAACGTGCACTGATGAAGGATGAGGAAATTGAGCACTAGTATTGCATTTCTTTTTTTGATTGGTTTTGGTTTCTGTCTCTATGGCAGTGATTTTCTGTTTTAGTTGTGTATATAGTCGTTGTTGTTAGTCTTAGATGATTTCATTGATTTATGCAATTCAGTCTTTTCATGAGTAATCCTCTTTTTGAAGAGAATAATCTTGTTATTCACTGTTCCTCACTGTTAAGCTTCTTCACAGCAAGTATAAAACTCACTCTTCGGGTTGAACTATATTATCACTATGCTTCCTCTCCTCTTACTAAAAAAAATAATTTTTTGCTTGTACTTTTGACCTTCATTTGGCAAGAGTTGTATCGTATAACTTTGCTGTACGAATTTATAACATAATCAACTTATCATGCCTCATCTCTCAGATTTCTGTACGTTATTTTGTTTATGGCTGTACAGTTTAATGATTTCGAAGGGGCTTGGTTTCCCTGAAGCATAGGACTTTCAAGACCCCAACATTCTTTGCTTTACAACTAGTTCTCCCAAATGTTATCCACAGGCATGCAAGCTATAACGTGACAGCTGATCAGATTCTTCTTTAGAATTATGCTTAAGTTTATTTAATCTGCTTGTCTTAGCTACCCCAAGAAGATCCTTCTACTTCTATCCAAATGAAGTTAGAAAATTATCTTCAGACTATAGCTAGACTTCCATCTCATAAAACTGGATGTGCTTGGCATCTGTATGCAAACTATTAAATGTCGAATGGAGATGGATGGACATGTAGGACACCAATATTGCCATGCAAGCCCACATCATTTTCTGGGTATGACCATGTCTTTGCATCTTTCATTGTTATGCTTAATTTTCCTAACTTTGGCAGAATGGACTTCTGTTCACTGGTGGTGAGGACCGGAATATTACAGCATGGGATACGAATAGTGGGAAGGTTGCATATTGCATTGATGATGCACATTCTGCCCGTGTGAAAGGTATTGTTGTGCTCACGAGGACTGACGGCACTGTGGATGATCCATATTTACTGGCATCTGCATCATCTGATGGGGTTATACGTGTTTGGGATGTTCGCATGTCCATGAAAGAGAAGCCAAATCCTTTGGCTGAGGCTAACACTAAATCAAGGCTGACATGTCTTGCTGGATCATCTCTTAAATGTGAGTGCTGTCACTGCTGCCAAATGTTTCTGCTTTATCAATTGAATAACACATTCTGTCGTCTTCTCCAATTTTCATTCATGTCTGTTCATTTTTCATATGCTTTATTGGCTACCATGTTTCTTTCCTTTCCTTTATCAGTAACTTCTATGTCTATGTACTTGGAAACTGTAATGATAATTGGCATGCCTCTCCATCAAGCTATTGGCTGCTGTGCATGAGTTGTGTTCAGGGTTCTACATTGAAGTTAGGCCAAAGGGGGCTGTGGAAGGTTGTTTCTGTTTCACTCTTATGGGATGGATTTCATAGGCGTACAGTTGGGTAGTATTTATGTTGGTTGAGATGAACCTCTCTCGCTTTCCATATTCAATTATGAAAAAAGGGAAAAAGTGCATACATATATAGAGAGAGCTAACATCAGTTATTTGCAACTCACATTCATCACCGAACTGTTAAACAAAACCAGCCATAGGAAAGCTGGAATCTGTTGGGGCCCTGGACTTTTCCAACTGTCTGGCATCGTTTGGGGCACCCAAAACCTGCTCTGAAAAAAATAGCATATGCTGAGTTTGTGGTGAAGTTCCCTTTGATTAGACGATCCCCCAGATGATATGATCATTAGGCAATGATTAATTAGTGTGCTTTTTGGTGGAATAAACAATTATGATGAATTTGCTAATAGAAGAAAAAGAAGTTCATTTATCTATGTTTTTGTCAATCAAGTTGGTTCTCATTGGTATTTTATTCTATTGTAGCTTTAAAACGACCGCAGATGGGAACAAGCAGTTTAAAGGAAGAGCCTGATACAGCGGAGAGAGAATGATAACATTAATGAAATGCAGAACAAAGAACATGGTGTATGCTAGTGTATCTGGCAACGTTACAACAACATGCCATAGTTAGATTGTTAAATCTAGATGATCTAACAAATCAATTTTGACATTTGATAAGCTTGTTGGTGTTGATTTCCTAGGTATACATGTAATTTGTTAGTGATATACGTGAGGATTTTGTTTTTCGTTTTCGTTGTTGACAGTGTGAAATTAACATTAAAGTTGAAATTGCTTCTTATTATAGAAGAAAATGTTAGCTTTTATTTATTTATTTTTATTTACCTTTTTCTGGTTCAACCATTTGACCCTCATCCTCTATGTTTTGAACGCAACACCTAATAGAAATCTGGAGGAGTTGGTGTTCCCTTTGTGACTAAGGTCACTTATTACTAGTTAATAGCTAGTTGTTTGTATTACGTTTAGAGTGAGATGTCTGCATTAAGCTGTATGTTAGATAGAACATGTGAAATTATTTAAAAAAATTATTATAGTTTGATAGTCTTTGTTATGTTGTAGGTCCATTAAAATATATTAAATCAATGGTAAAAGGAAAAAAAATCACTTTACTCAATGATTTTTTTAAATCAAAATTTTATATATATATATATATATATATATATTGCATGGTTTTTAAAATAAAAATTTACAATAATCTAAAATGCAAGTTTGAATTAAACGAAAATCCAAAAAAAAAAAAAAAGAAAAATTATGTGTCAATAAATTTTTTTTTGTTTCCATAAAAAAAGGTTATCCCTATTGAGTATTATCGGGAAGATTAATTTTTTTAAAACATGTATATTAGGTTTATATGTGTTTGTGTGGTATATATATATAGTCTCAAAATAATCAATAATATTGATATAAAAAACTTTATTTGAAAACTATGGTATCATTGAGTTTTTTTTTTTTTTTTTAACATGATTTTAATTATTTAATTTCAGAAAAATTGATTTCCAAATATCAAAAAACTTCAAATAAAAATAGCAAATGTTAAGTGCTTTGTGTGCATACATAGTCAATTTTTTTCAATAAAAAAAGACTTATAAAATTAATTTCGATAAATTTTGATTATATACAAATAAATAAATAAAACACGTGATTTTATTTTTCCCCCTCTTAATAGATATCTATATCACATGTTTGGTCCTTGTTCATAGGCTTTACACATATCACTACCTAAAAAAAAAAAACTCATCAAATAGTGATCGATAAAAAAAACTCATCAAATAGTGATCGATAAAAAAAACTTGTCAAATAGCAACAGATTAACTTCCGTCGCTAAATTGCAAGCAAATAGCCCCTTATCAATGACGGTTTATTAGCGACGGAAACCAATCGTTACTAAATTTGAAGGCAAAATAATTTTGAGAGTTGTAGTGACGGTTTAGAGACTAATTTGTTAGGGAAAATAACGATGAAATTGCTAATCCATCATTATTTTCAATGTCCGAATTTCATCGTTATTTTTCCTAGCAAATCCGTCTCTAAACTGTCGCTACAACTCTCGAAAATATTTTGCCTTGAAATTTAGCGACGAAAACCAATAAAACATCATTGATGGAGGGCTATTTGCTTGTAATTTAGCAACGGAAGTTGATCCGTCGCCATCGCTCAAAGAAATATCCCTCACAATTTAGCGATGGGAAAGCTCGTCACTAAAAGTGAAAAATTGGACAAATTTTTTGAAAGTCAAAACTCGCCAAATTAGTGACAGATTAGAGATGGACACTTACGTCCGTGCTATACATAAAAAATAGGTAGCCAATTGTAATCAATTAGTCGTCCATTTTTTGATAGACTAGTAACAAAACAAGTAAGGAAATCACGTCCGTCGTTGTTTTTCAATCCCTAATTAGTTCCATTTCTTCTTCTTTCTCCCTATTTTGTTCTTCCTCTCCTTTTCCAACCAGCCGTCGGTCTCTTCCCTTTAAAACCACCACCAAACTCCACTCCTCTACTCTTAATCAATCCACACCTACTCTAAGCTCTTTTCTTCCAAAAAAACCTCTCCTTTTTTCCTTCCCTCCTCTCGGTGTAATTCCACTCGAATTAGGTAAGTTTTTTTCTCTCTTTTATTTTCTTAATTAAAGTTAGTAATTTATTGTAATTTTTGTCGATGTGGGCCCTCAAAGCATGCGGGAATAGTAGTTTCCACCGACCTAATCGAAAAGAATTAGAAAACCCTAAACATACTAGTTGGTTAAGATATATGGATAAGGGATGGGTTATGCATTAAAAAGATATAAAATAATTGCCATCCTATCCTACCTAAGGTAGGCCGCATTGAATAAGTGTAAAAATAAAAAAAATTGGTTTTACTATATTATTTTTCTATACTTATTTGAGCGAATTTACTTTATTGGGATGGAATGATAGAGTAATTTGGGGTTCGGCGGATCCAAGGCTAATTCTCATACTCAAAGGAGAACGGAGAGAAAGAATGGGATTTTGACTAGTCTTTAGTAAACATAAACTTATACCGATAAGTAGGTGAGTTTATAAAGATTAAGAGCCTTTATTAAATGAACAAAAAGTCACCGAAAACTTCACTCACATTAGTGGGAAGTCATCATTAACTTCGAATTAGGAGTTTAGGAAATTACTAACAACTTTGTCACACAAGTGGAAAGCTATTGACAATTTTATTTTGCTTGAGTGAGGAGTAGATAACTAGTTTGGAAGTGTCACGACTCCGGGAGTGGGCCATGATCGATGCGAGGACCAAGAGGACCGTGAGGCCCACCTCGACCCTAGTAAGCCTCGGATATTAAACTAAACCTCAAATCATGACCGAACTTGTACTATAGTCCTTAAATCAATATCACTTAAATTATCGTTTCCAATCAACATTGTCATAACTTAATAAACATTTCCAATACAATTCATATTTCAATATCTAAAATCAATATTAATAATTAAGTCATAATACACTACCTACAAATATAACTACAGAGTATCTAAGAACACATTTAGAATAAATATAGGTTATAAGGAATTACAATTCAAGTGAGTTGCACGACCAAAGTGCCGACTTCGAATCAAGCAACAAAAGAAGTAATGAGTAATACTTCAATATCCTATAAGACTAAAATAACGAGGGGTGCGTAAACCATAGCTCAATGAGTAGACATTATATAATATATTAAAGGAGAAAAGCGAACTAAGGATGACATTCTCAAATCCATGTCAAAATTCAATGCTTATTTCTCAAACACATGCATATCAAAAACATATTTCATATCACAATCAAATGGTTTAAAACCATTTTATATCAAAACTCAAAGCATTTGTACATACATATATCGTACTTATACGAAAACACATATTTAGTTATTTATACACACGTGGGATAATAACGTATCATTGGGTGTGAACACCCAAAGGTCATGCCCTCCGTGACTAGGTTTTTGCATGTTGGTCGATATACGGTCTAGCACTACACCTCTCTTGCTAGATGGAGCCTCGTATCATTAATGTATCATTAAGCTTAAAAGCTACCCCTCGGTAGCTAGGTTCCTCGAGGTCTCGAAAATATTTTCAAAAACCAAACATATTTATATATTTTCGGATCGATATTTCAAATACCATATATGCATTCTTAAGAAATACACTTATACTCAAAATAAGATCGGTATTTCAAATACCATACATGCATTCTTAAAAAATACACTTATACTCAAAATAACGAACATACATATTCAAATTCAAAAACGTATATCAAATCATTCACGTTTATCCAACACATTGAAATCTCCTTTCAATTCTCATTAAATCATTTTGATATGAAAATATTTCAAATATTTAGAATGTCCATTTCCATCTAAGTTCTACTAGAATGCTTATAAATCATTCATAAACAATGATGCATGATGGACGAATCAAGAACATTAAAACATAGTACATAATATAATATTCACTCATATTACACTTAAAGAACCAAATGGAATCAAGACGGTTGGAATAGAGTCGGCCGCTCCGAAGAATCTAACATCACAAGATGATGGATCATCCATCAATACCATATAACAAGGAATAATCCACTAATGAATTATTCTAGAATTAGAAATACAAATTATCGGATAAAAATGAAATTGGTTAGAAAAACTCGATTCTATAATCTAACTAAATCTTATAATCCCTCAATTGATTCTAAATAATCATCTAATCATATTCCATTATCAATCTTTAATTCATTCCTTAAATAATCAACCTTTAATAATTCAATTTTTAATTTGATTAAATGATCAATTCTATTAAAATTCATTCAATAATCACTCTATTCATCTTTAATTATACTTTTCTAACTTAATTCCTCATTTTCTCTAAAATTCTTTTCAATTAAAACCTAAATTCAGATTTGTCACTCTTCATCATTTTCAACCTCTCAATTTCTTAAATTCATTTGATTCTACTTCAAATTAACTTCTTATTTCACTTACCTAAGATAATTAAACATCAATTAAACACTTATGATCACTTAATCAAAATTTTCTCTAAATGGATCTCAATACCCTAACCTTAATCTAATCATTTCCTTAAGTAAATCATAATCCAAAGCAACTCCTATTCAATATCACCTCTAACTACAAATAAACATCATAATTTAAGGGTCAATTGATCAAAAATCTTACCTAGACTCTTTGCTCTCAAATCCATAATTTCTTCCTAGTTCTCCAAGCTTCTAAAGCTCCAAGCTAGTTAAACTCCACTTGAATTCTTTTACTTATGGTCTTCCTAAACTAATTGAATAATGGATTAGCTTGGAAATTAAAGAGAAAGTTAGGAGAAAATTTAGGGAGAAAATCACATGAGAGAGAAGGAGAGAAAGAAGAGGAAAAATCTAAAAAAAAGGGTAGTTATTGCTCCTTTTATACTAGCCCCTTTTTCTAAAAAACATTTCGAGTTATTACATGAAGTCATTAGCAATTTCATCACATAATTGAGAAGCCACCGACATCTTCATTTCAAATTAACAAAAAAGTAAGTAAAT